TACTGACTCACCCAATTTTAACCCGCCACGTCACTCAACTCACCACCTCAGTTTCCCCAACCCAACCGATAAATCAGCCATTCACAATCGTGAACCATCCTCCCTCATCCATCGCCATTCTTAGCTCCTTGCCAAAGTGAATCCCCTCCCAACCATTAATTTTAATCACTTCCCAGCCAAAATCGAACTCTAAAAGCCCCCACCCCTTATGAAATCCAAGAAAACGAACCCCAAATTGAAAATTGCAGTTGTCTGGTTTGTGAAGATATGGGGTGATTAGCTTTCTTGTTCCCAAATTGAAAACGGAACCCCCACCAGCGACGGCGACTGATTAAAAATCTTGTGCAAAATTCCTTGAAAGCCATAGAGGGATTTGGACTGTGGCAGTGACAAGAGGTCCTCAACCCTCTCTACTGCTGCATGTGCGAGATCCCCCGACATTTCCCAGAAAGGATTCACCAGCCGCCGCAGTGTGAAATTTTTTCTGGTGCCACTCTACTGTAGAATGTTCTTGTCAGAAGATGCCCTTCCCGACGCGCGATGCAGATCTTCAAAATGATGCCCTAACCACCGCTTTTGCCGCCAGACACGTCCATGTCGTGCTCCGACGGTGGAAGGAGAAGAAGAAGGTATAGGCGGACACCGACAGAGGGGAAGATAACGAGAGCGATGAGGTGGAGGTGGACAAGCGATTTGGGCTCTTGAAAGAGCTCTCGAGCAGGTTTGAGATTGGGGAAGAAGTGGGGAGGGGGGAATTTGGGTATGCTTGTTCCGATCAGGGAGGGTTGTGATAGTTTAGGGTTTTACAGTTTGAGAATGGGAAAAAGTGGGGAGGGGGCAATTTGGGTATGCTTGTTCCGATCAGGAAGCTAGTGTGGTAGTTTAGGGTTTTAATTGAGGGTTCGGTTCATGGGTAGTTAATGGGTTGGGTTGACAAGATGATGTGGTGGGTCGGGTTTGACCATTTTCGGGTTAAATATGGCTGACTAAATGATTATGTCTGCCACGTCAGCACTTAACGGCCTCTATTAACGGAGATGGACGGCGACTAACAGAGAGTGACAAAACGTGAACGTTTTTAATACAGCTAGTGACCACTAATGGATTAAAATATTTCAAATGACTAAACATGAACGTTTTTAGTAAACTCAGTGACCAAACTTGCAATTAACCCGAACTATTTAAGTCACAAATTTTCATTATTCAGAGTATGAAAAGAATACTATTGAATCGCTAATTCCCAATCTTCTCCTCTTCTTCTCTCAGTTCTCCTATATTCTTTCCCAATTCTTCTACATTCTCAATCCCTAGTTCTAATCATTTTCTCAACCTTTCCTCAAATTGGTTGATTGGTCGCATTGACCAACTTAGGAGTATTTGGAGAGGAGAGGTACATGAATCTTGAGAATACAGACCAATAGAGATAGGGGTGGGATTCGGTCGGTAAACAATTTACCGTTTACCGAATTTAGCGGTTTCGGTATACCGAAGTTGGCCAAACTGGTTACCGATTATCGATACCGGTTTGTAACCGGTTTACCGATTACCGAATTACCAGTAAATGGTTGCAAACCGGTACCGAAATACCATGAGAATCGATTTCGGGCTGTTTTTCGGTCGGTTTACCAGGCTCCAAGGCTTACCAGGTTTTTCGGTCGGTTTTCGGTCGGTTTTTCTTACCTCCAGGCTCCAGGCGACCAGGCTCCAAGGACGACAGACGACAGGAGGTGAGGACGGTGAGGAGATGGCGGGGGCGGCCTGGCGGCGGCGAGGAAGCCGGAATGTGGCGACTGCGTCGCGTCGCGCGTCGGCAGCAGCTGGCCTGGGAGAGACGACAGTCGGGGATGGCTGGGGAAGCGCGCTCGTCGTCGCCGTCGCTCGACGGTCGTCGCCGCCAGCATAAGGAGAGGAAGACGAGAAGAGGAGAGCTGGAGAACGAGCTGGGTGGCTGCGCGCGGGTCTCTTTGAAACGAGGTCGGGGCTCGGGGGCGGGTCGCTAGCATTTGGGTAGGGTTTTTTAGTTTTAGGGTTTGGGAGGCCAGGGCAAAACGCAGCGCAGTGGCAAAAATGGGGAGGGGGATTTGGTATCGGTAATACCGATTTACCGTTGGTATTTACCGATACTGTATCCGGTAAACCGAGTATCCCAATTCACCGCTCGGCTGCCGATACCGCCGGTAAACGGTTTATCGTTTACCGCCGGTTACCAGTTCGGTAAAACGGTAAACCGTTTACCGGGTTACCGTTTACCACCCCTAAATAGAGAAGATTATATTTTTCTATATGCTAGTCTTCTAGATGGTATGAAGGAGTATAATCATTTGATTTGGGGACAAAAAAGAGGAGCTTTGGAGACGACAAAAGTCGTCCCCGGAAATAGACAAAAATCGACCCCATAGTTTTTGGGATAATTTATTTGTCCCTAATGTTTCGTGCCTTGTCATTTATTCGTTAAGGGACGATAAAAATTTAGGTCGTCCCCAATACTAGGGACGAGACTCGTCCCCAATACTTAGGTGTTGTCGTCTTTATATTGTCCATTAAAGACAATATGTCGTCCCTGTAGCCATGGTTTTATCGACAATAAGTCGTTCCCTAAACATTGTTTCTATTTTGAAATAAAATGTTATCCCTTTTAGACCTTATTATCCTGATTTCTTAATTATCATGGCTCTTTTGCCTTTGCATGTTGTTTGCTTTGGTGTTGCTCGTTTGAAAGCTAGCTGGTACGAGTCCTACCTGTTTTGTACTTTTTAATTTTTGGTTGTTTACAACCTCCCTATAATAAATAAAAAAAATGTTACCCTTTTAATTTCATAGGTACGAAAATTTTCACCTATACGAAAATTTAGGAACAGCAGTTTGTCATAATTTTTAGTTAAATTTTTTATTCAATACCAAATTGGTTTTCTCCACAATTTTTTTATTATTTTTTGAAGATATATATAGATAAACGAAAGTTCCTTAATCCATGTGATCTTCGTATATATTATTGCATATTATTTTGTATATATACACAGAAGATCATATTTTTCTCTTATGGTCTGTCTAACCTAATGCATTCTTTGATTTAAAATTTAAATGTGATTTAATATGCTATGCTTCACGTAATATTTTTGTTACAAGTTTAGAAGACTAACATACTATGTGGAAAAAAAAACTAGACATATGTCGAAGCAAATTGTATTTCTTTAAAATCCAAATAAGATTTATGCATTTGATACTTTTCACCTTGGTTTATTTGTTTGAAATTTTAATTAATCATATAGTATTTTGTGTGGTGTAAAATAGTTGCATTTTTTGTGTTGGGTTGGGTTTTTACTTAAAAGTATCATCACCCGAGCCAACCCAATTATAGACAAACCGTTGGGTTCTTATTTTGTTTGGGTGGGTTCGGGTTTAGTATTTTTTAGATTTGTAGTGAATGGGTAAGGTGATTAAAATGAGTAAACTAGGATAATTCGACCCATGTACACCCCATTGAGGCTTCATCTCATATTTGTGTGTGGTATGGTCATCACCAAGGAGGCAATTTATTGTCTAGCTTAGTATCATTGATGACTCTGCATAGTGTGACATCTCATTTATATTCATCAATTTTAGAGATATATCTCAGACAGTGTTCCCTACCAAGGAAGATTACTTCTGGTACGGTCACTTCATCAATGCTCTCAAATCCATCTGAGGGTAACCCTATAGTTCATGCTTAGACTCCACTATGCATGTCATGTGGGAATCAAGTCGCATGTACTTCTTACTACAGTTTTAGCATAACAAGTAATTACCATATAAGGACCTTCAATCTATTACCGTTATGTGAGCACTTGATATTTTCGAATTTCGGATTCTACTTTATCATAATTCTACCTAAGAAGTCAACTTGTGCCAAATGATATGGTCATGCTAAGGTTACTCGACTAACGAGCTGAACCCAATGCTAGTATACGTGGGAGGATTAATGACCAATTAACTATCATTATCATGAGTGGAGTAATTTCACGAAATCAACCATTTGAATCGAGAAAGGTGGGGAGAACCATCCCAACAAGCAGGATAATCACTTTGGTGCAATTCTAGAGGAAGTTTGGTATTTGCTGGAAAATCATATTGGTATCATTGTACGATTTGTAGGTCATAATAGCAATAAGGTAGCCAACTTGGTGGCTAGAAAAGTTCCTCATGTATGTTTGTCACTGTTATGACTAAAAGATGCCACCAATTACCGTGGAAACAAATGCACCAAAGGAGACTTACGTCTACATCTGGAAATTCCCGAGTTTCTTTCCAATCGAATCCACCAAAATATCAAAAAGCTTGATTGATGGATGATAGGAAATGTCGTTGTGATAATAGAGGGGAAACCCACTGACGTCCTATTGGATGAGGAAGTAGTTCCATATGCTTCCATAGAGAACTTCAACGAGCCAAGAGGTTGTTGCAGAGCTCTGAGGACTTCCATAACATGATTCATAGGCAAAGAGTGCTTGCATTGCCTTTGACCATTTTCTTTTTGTATGCTACGAAAGTTGAAAGGCCCTGTGAAAGAAGGATGCAGAAGGCAGCCATTGATGTTGAGCTTCAGACAGATACAGAGTCGACCTGGGCTTTCTTTCACCTTGCCATTTTGCTGATCAGTTCTAACACAACTCATTTGATGAACAATACCCCGTGATTGATAGAAATCAATCATATTGAACTCCTGTCCTTGATCAGATCGAATGATCTTTACATGTTTATCAAACTGGGGTTTCACCATTAAGCAAAAGGATTGCAACAATGGTCTGGTTTCAAATTTAAAACTCATAAGGAACAACCAAGTGCATCGACTAAAATCATCTACTATGGTGAGAAAATATTTGAAATCATCGTGTGAAACTGCATCAACTGGTCCCCATATATCAACGTGGATCAAATAAAAAACACTCTTACTACAAAACTGACTAAGAGGAAAAAGAATCCTCTTCTGTTTGGACAACTGACAAATCTCACAGTGAGAACTAGAAGGAACTGAAACTTCATTACAATGTTTGTGAATAGTCTGTAATCTAGTAAGGGACAATGGCCAAGCCTAAGGTGCCACAAAGATGAGTCCTGACTGGTCTTCACTCCACAGATTTGAGGTAAGGTATTGTTTGGTTTTCCAGCAGCACTCCCAAGCAAGTATAGTCCTCTATCTACTCGGATTGAACCAATCCTCTATTGTGATATTAGGCCCTAGATACAACAGAAGTTGGATTCAAACATGAGTGATACTGGAGTGTTTTTGGTTAACTGGCTGACAGAAATAAGGTTATAGGAAAAAGAAGGCACCAACAAAACGTTGGTAATGCCACAAGGCAACTTAACCCGTCCTAAATGAGTCACCCTAGATTGCTGACCATTAGGTAGATTAACAAACATATTATGAACTTCCTGAGATTTCAAAAATAGATTAACATTGCAAACAATGTGATCACTAGCACCTGTATCAAGCACCCAAACAGCAAAAGATGCATCCTGGGAGTTGATGGAAAGACAAGTGCTAGTGAAATGGTGTGACGAGGTGGACTGGGTCGAGTTAGCACTGAATTGGACTGAGGGAATTGAGCAGGTGAATGATCAAGTTGTTGCTGAAGAAGGCTACGCAACTTGTGGATCTCTTCAGCTGAAAACTAGATAGATTGGCCCTCTTGGCTGGTTCTGTTCTCAGAAATTGAACTGCTGGGACTCTGAGAACTTCCTCCTGAGGAAACCACTCCATCATTACCATTGGTATCAATAGAACCAGCAAAACTCCTGCCACCCGACTCGTTCTTCCTCTTGTTCTTCAGTTTGAAACAATCCTCTATCAGGTGATTGTCCTTCTTGCAATAACGACAGAAAAGTTTCTGAGATTTCTTGCCATCTTTACCAGTTTCCCTTCTCTGACCAGATTGACCAGACAAAGCTGCAAGAGCAATGGATTCAGCTGTTGCCTTGGTCTTACCAGTGTTCATTTGTCATTCCAGTTGAACAACACCCCTATAAACCGTGTCTATATCAGGCAAAGGATCAAGCATGAGCATCTGAGTCTTGACTTGCTGATAATTCTCATTCAAACCCAGGAGAAATCGAATCACTCTACCCCTGTCCCGATATTTAATCACAGTTTCATATGTCTTCGAAGCACACTCACAAACAGGAATTGGTTCATAATGTTGTTGTTCATCCCACAAAAGCTTTAAATCAGTATGATACTATCGCATAGTTTTGTTTCCCTGCTTAGTGAGATCAACCTTCTCTTGTAAATTGGCAATTCTAACAAAATCACATTGGCTAAACTTGGATTTCAGGTAACCCCAAGCATCAGTAGCAGATCTGATGTTTCTCTGACTAGGAACGATGTCCTCAGAAACAGAATTACGAATCCAACAAAGTATGGTGCCATTGCACCTATCCCAAGTACTACGAGAAAGATCTATTTCATCGGGTACCTAAACTGTGCCGTGGATGAAACCCCACTTGTTCTTCGTTCTCAGGGCAACCTCCATAGATTCGCTCCAGAGAAGGTAATTGTCGTCATTGAGCTTGAAGCTGATGACTGGTAGAAAAGAGTTGTCACTGGCAGTTAAATACAGAGGGTTGGAGTATGGATCTTCATAACAGGCTGCTTGGGTCGTAGCGGAGTTAGTGGTGGTCGACGCCCCAGACTGAGGAGAAGCTTGATCACCCATTATGATAGTAGGAGACTTGTTTCAGAAACTTGTAAAATGAAGAAAATGGAAGAGAGAACCGATCTGGATCAGCAACGACGCTTTGATACCATGAGAAAACTTGAAACCCTAGCAGATGATTAGGGTAGAAATCGGAAAATGACAGGAAAGCATCGTTGGGGGAATTTGCCAGTATGGCTGCATTCCATTTTCTGAAGAAATATATACAGAGTCTCCATTCTATTTACCACTACACTACAAAGCAGAAAGGTAAAGTAACTCTACTGTAGATTAACAGTAACTAGGCTAACCACTATCATCTCGCCACTTGGCGTAACAACACTTATTCACTGGATTACTAACGATGCCATTCGATCTTGCAGGGTTGACTACTTAGATGATACGGCGTCGTTGGAACTGTAGCTCTTCTTCTTCGACCAAGGTGAAAGGAAGCCCAGGTCGACTCTGTCTCTGAAGCTCAAGGTGAAAGGTGAAGTGGATATCCCATTGTAGAAATTCAAATGGATGTGTCATTTCAGTATGAACTCAGTACTGAACCAGACTACCAGAGTGGTGCATTCTTCTACTGGAAAGCAAACAGGGTTAGTCTCCTGAGCTTATGAAATCAATGCGTGCTTTCTACATCAATTAGTTATTCTCAACTATTTGGTGAGTTCACAAATGAAACCAAGAAATACAATGTATAAATAACGCAAGGAAACCAACAGCCTAAGCCCAGATGGATTTGTACAATATACTAACATTACCCCGTATGATTTGTGTAGCAAAGGATTTTCAGGAAACGTAATAAGTTCCATGTTTACCATGTATCTAAGTACTGAAAGAAGCACAGGTATCTGGATAAGTCATCATCAACAGAGAATAGCAAAGAGAGTCAAATTCAAAGCAAGAAAATAAACAAAAGGCATAAAGTTCCAACTCTGTGCTACTTGATAACAGAGCTGTCAAGCAAAAGAACAAATATCAGAGCAAGAAAATCAAATCCACCTCCTACCAGATCAAAGGCTTAATTGATTTGGCAGTCAGACTCTCAAACAAGTATAGTTGAAACTTTCAGAAAGCCTTCCCAATTCTTACATTACGAAACATCGAAACAGGGTTCCCCAAAACTTTTAATAGTCAAAACAAAATTTACAAGCGCAGCATAGAAAAGCATGCAGCATTACCTTGGCTCTTATCGAATCTACAAGCCGAATTGTCCAACCAGCTCCTTGTCCTCAAACTTCTTCATATGCTCAATTATTTCATCAACATAAGTAGGTTGTAGACGCACTTTTTTCCCAAGCATTGACCTTGCAAGTTTTGCAGCTTCCACAAGATAACCTTGATGACAAAGCCCAAGCAGCAAAATAGAGTAGATATCAGAGTCCAAGGTAACCAAACAGCCAATCTTTTCAATTTCACCATACAAGTGAAACCCATCAAGCACCCTTGTCTTGGAGCAAAGCTCCCTAATCATAAGACTGGATGCCAGGCTATCCGGTTTTGCTCCACTAGCTAAAAGGCTCCTGAAGACCTTCTCTGCCTCCTCAGGTTTCTTTGTCCTCAGTAGACATACAACAAGAGAGCTGTAACACTCACCAAAAGATACACTTTCTCCCACAATAATCCTATCAATCAACTTATAAGCCTCCTCCAAAAGATTGTCTGCACAAAGACCGTTGATCAAAGTGCTAACTGTCACCCTATTTGGAGACACACCAGAATCCTCCATTTTATCAAAAATGAAAACTGCATCAACTGTCTTGCCCTTCTCACACAAACCTTGAATCAAAGAGGTATATGTGATCACATTTGGGCTACAGTCCCCACCTTTCTCCATTTCACTCAGCAACTCTAAAGCCTGCTCAACACTCCCATGTTTACAAACCCCATCAAGAAGGGTCGAATACACCACAACATTAGGAGCAGAACCAGTTCTCTTCATCACCTTCAACAAACGAGTAGCTTCTGCCAGTTTACCAATACGAACAAAACCTTTAATCATTGATACATAAGTGATCATGTCAGGATAAAGGTCAATCAACCCCATCTCTCCCATTAACTTGTCAGCCATAACCAAGTCACCATTCTCACATAACAAGCTAATAACTAAATTATATGCATTGGTGTCCGCACGTATACCAAACACAGACATTTTCTTCAACACAGAAAGAGCCTCATTGACAAGCTTAGCCTCTCTGCACAAATGAAGTACTACTTTAAACATCTTGACATTAACGGCGCATTTCTCTGCCTTATAAGCCTCGATTACATCCAACACAACTTGCGGATTTTCCCTGACCTTCAACAACTGACAAACCCTGTCGTACATGTAAGGACTGTGTCTATTATTTGACTGACAGCCAGCCCACACGAAAAATCTAAGACCCAGCTGAGATTCGTTCTGGGAGCACCTCTGCAAAACTTCATTGATACACGAAGCATCCAGTTTAGGCTTGACTAAACTCAGAGCTCTTTCCGGATTCTTGGGGTTGTTATGCAAGTGAGAGTAGAGCTTGTCAGCCAGTGAAGAGTGAAGTCTTAGATTATATATTTTCGAAATCCGGGGAGAGATTGACAATGAAAGCGAACGAGAAAACAAGAACAGGACCATGGATTTAGTTCTGAGACAAAGGTTCTTCAATTGATACCCCTAATTTCTATGACTAAATGATGGAGAAGATGCGAGTAGTGGTATTATCCTGACCTGCAGGCGAGACTAACAAGCGGTTGTTGCAGAGTGTTTCGTCAGGCAAATTTCTCTGTCAGAAGGGTTAACAGAGAGGGTGAATTCTTCGATTCCTTCTCTTCTCAAAATGAGAAAGCAGGTGTGATTGGAGTTGGAGAAACCCAGAAATCACGGTCCTTCATTCCTTCTCGGAGACATTTCAGCGCCGGTAAGCAAAAACGAAGAAACATTTGGAGGATGACCACAGTGATGCGGACGGGAGTTGGAGATGAAGAAAACGCTGGCTTCGGGAAGATCCAGTACGAGCGGCGACCGAGAAAAGCAGAGACGCGGTGGCGTCAAAGAAACGAGGGACGATCTCGGAGCTCAGACAACAGCACAGACATCTACGTCATCGGAAGAAACCAGGGGCAACGGTGGCTTTCGTTGAAGAAGAAAGAAAGTAGAATCGTGGAGGGCGGCAGCCGGCAGGGATTTAAGGTGAAGACGAGGAGAAAAAAGGGCCAGCCACTATCGAGGAACAGAAAAGGATGAACTGATTTTCTTTAGTGGTAAATGGGCGGTTTGTTTGCCATTTCCTTTTTTAAAGATGCAATAAACAAAATTAAAATCAAAATAAAATTATCATTTTTTCATAAACAAAATTTGAAGAAATTGGTTTAGTTGACAATTTTGGTACGTTCTGAAACTGAATTTTGAAAAATGAAAACATGTTTAACTACTTTTGTTCTATTTTCCGGCGCTTGATTACCACAATTTTTTCATTGAGTATCATACAATTCTAATCATGATTATAATTTTTAATAAGAATCACATTGTATTCAAACTAATAATTCAATACAAATACAACATCTTATATCAAATTAGTACTACTAGATATCATTTCGCGCTGCGACTTAAATAAACAAATAACAATTTATTGGGTACTCATATATTATATCTATATAATAGATGGGCACGAAGTTAATTTGTTGGAACTACATGTCTCATACATTCAGTGGTATAAACAATCATACATATAGCATTGTGTTCAACAATTTCCTTATGGATACTGAAATCCATAACTTAGGCAAAATATATAAATTCAAAAAGCAAACACACCACATTCTGATTGTTCATCATTTTATTAATTTAGAAGAGAGTAACACCTTTTTATGGAGTGTGCGGTGGCAAGAGCAATATGTGATCTTGCTGATCTAGAGACTTTAGGCCAAGGGCTCACTCACCCCCCCCCCCCCCCCCCCCCCCCTCTTAAGAAGTTGTTTTTATTGCTTATTCAATCCCATCAGAGCATGGTTGTGGTTGCGGCCCTATGACATATTTGGAAGTCTATAAATTAGGTTGTCTTTGAGGGGAAACAGTTATGTGTTATGTTTTTTATGCGACAATATCATCAACAAGTCCAAGAATGGGTGGGGGTACCGATGGACAGAGTGATTTCGTTTCCTGTGTCCCCGGTGGCAAATGTGGATGTGTCAGCCTCGACCATGGTTCTGTTGATTATCCTTGTTGATTATCCTTGTAGTCCCATTATAAGTGTAGTGTAGTAGTAGTGTACGTAGAGTCTCGGTTTAGCCCATTGGATCATTAAAGGCCCATGCAGCTCATAAGCATTAGGAGAGTCACGTAAACCTAAGTGCTAGGGTTCGGCCATGTTAGTGATATAAGAGCTAGTCTGCCGTCAGTGTACTGTACAACAAGCATACAGTTTTCATCAATACATCAGTAGCTGAGGAGTCTTCATACTCCTCCGTGGATTAGTCCTGGATCATCCAGGGATACCACGTAAACCACCGTTTGTCATTTCCGTTACAGTTTAAGATTTCAACATGGTATCAGAGCCGACGCAAATCGAATCCTCAAGACCCTCGGTATGTCTAACACCAACGAACTTCGCGCTATGGGAGTTCCAATTCCGAGTCTTTGTAGAAGGCCGGGGTTTGCTGGGTGTTCTGGATGGTTCGCTGCCGCAACCTGCCGCCGGTGCTGTTTCCGCGCAAGAACGGGCTCAGTGGAGCCAAAATGATGCTCGTGTGCGTTCCTGGCTGCTGGACAGCGTGACGCGTCTACATGCCTGAGTTTGAGGCTATTTCCGACTGCCAATAGGATGTGGAGACACTTGACAGCTCTCTACTCTACTGTTACTCTAGCTCATCAGTTCGAGGTTCAGATGTCGATCGCACGCCTGGAACAAGGCGATAAATCAGTGACAGAATATTTCAATCGAGCCCAGGAATTGTGGACCGAACAAGACCTAATCCAAGCTGCTCTAAGGCCGGATGCTGAGATATCCGATGGTGCTATTGAAGAGAGGCAACGTACCACAATTCTGGAATTTTTAATGCGACTGAGGCCTGATTTTGAGGCTGTTCGTTTAGCTCTTCTCAATAAAGAGGTCCTGAATTTTGATGGTGTATTGGCGACACTAGTTCGGGAAGAGACGAGGATGCGAACTCAAGCTTTGCTCGATCAGCGACCTGGCGAGGGTGAAACCCTCATGGCAGCAGCTGCTCACGGGACTGGAAATGCAGGTTTGAATCCTTCTGCCTATGCTATCGAGCGACCACAGTTCCAAAGAAGATTGCCTGCTACGGAATTGGAGTGTCACCACTGCCGGGAAAAGGGACACCTGCAAAAGCATTGCAAAAGACGAAACTTCTGTGTCTATTGCAAAAGAATGGGACATATTGTCCTTGAGTGCAGGTCTCGAGAACGGAATGAGGCACGCTGGGCAGCCCCTCAAGCTTCAGGAGGAGCTCGCAGCGGTCGGAATGGTGATCGCCAGGGAGGAGGGGTACCTCGAGGTGGATATGGAGAGCGACCAGTATATGGCGCCTATCTAGCTGATCATCACGGCAACTGGAGAGAAGCTGCCCATCCTGCATATGCCGAGCATAATGCTCCTCGAACTGAAGTGGGCAGCGACTCAGGGATGTCAGCTGATACTGTGGAGCAAATGGTCAATGCCGCATTACAGAGGTCGCTTCCAACTGCCATTACTGCCGCCTTTGCAACACTACAAGGATCAGGTAATTCTGCACCTTGGCTTCTTGATAGTGCTTGCTTTAATCATATGACTCGGAAATCGGATAAGTTAACTAATGTGCAACAGGTTAATGGCATGGAATTGACTGTTGCTAATGGAGAAAAATTGACAGTATATGGAGTAGGGAATTTGGTCACTGATTCTATATCTTTAAGTAATACTTTGCATGTTCCCCGCCTTGTGCACAATTTAGTTTCGGTTGGACAGCTTACTGAGCAGGGTTATTCTGTGGTGTTTGCTCCGTCTGGGTGTGTTGTACAGGATTCGAAGACGGGGAGGCCAATCGGAAGGGGGAGTAAGCGAGGCCGGTTATTTCATTTAGAGGAATTGAATGGGCAATCTGTTTCGTCTAATGTCAGTAGTCATGATCGTAGGTCTGTTAGTAGTCCTTGTTCTGTGTTTTCTAGTGTTGCGAATAATGTATGGGATCTCTGGCATTCTCGGCTAGGGCATCCCCATACTAGTCGGTTGTCTCTTATGTTTCAAAAGTCTCTACTTGGCAAAAACAATGTTGGGATTTCCGGTTCTCATTCTTGTAGAAGCTGCGTATAAGCTAAAACTGTCAGTATTTCATTTCCTTCTAGTGTCACTGTTATAAAAGACGCATTCCATCTTGTCCATACTGATCTCTGGGGTCCTGCACCCATTCTAAGTAAACATGGTTTTCGTTATTTTGCGTTGTTCATCGACCATGCTACTCGTTTCACCTGGATATATTTTCTGCGTCTCAAATCCGAACTTCGTGCAGTAGCTATTGAGTTTCTTAACATGATTCAAACCCAATTTGGTCGTACAGTCAAAATAATACGTTCTGATCCGGGTGGGGAATTTAGTTCAATCCCGTTACGTGAGGTTTATCGGGATCGTGGTATTCTGTGTCAAAAATCGTGTCCTGGTGTTTCCCAGCAAAATGGACTAGTGGAACGCAAAAACCGTCATGTTTTGGAACTTACCAGAGCTTTACTGCTTGCTTCCTCGGTTCCAGGACGTTTCTGGCCTGAAGCAGTGGCTACGGCAGTAAAACTGATAAATTACCAAATTACGACAGTACTGGGTAACATTAGTCCATACTTTGCTCTTTACTCGCGTCATCCTGACTATTCTCGTCTCCGTGTCTTTGGATGTATGTGTTTTGTTCTTCTTCCTAAACGAGAACGAACCAAATTGACCTCCAAAACCGCCCGTTGTGCCTTCTTAGGTTATAGCGACGTTCATAAAGGGTATATGTGTTATGATCCCACCACTCAGCGTATTAGGATGGCTTCCACAGTTGTGTTCTTTGAAAATGTGTCCTTTTTCGAGCGTCCTTCATCTCCTGAGGTAGTGTTTCCTGGTTTCGAGTCTCTGCCTTTATTTCTCTATGATGATGAACCGGCCGATGATCATTTGTTGCTCTCCCCTGAAGATATGGCTTCTCCACCACCCACATCACCTTCTACAGCGAGTCCCGCTTCATCCCCAGGAAACTCCACGCCATCCATTGCCAGCCCAACATGCCCCGACTCCTCTGGATCTGCTTCTCAATCATCACCGCCACAGACCATTCAGCAGCCACAATTGCGCCGTTCATCACGTTTGACTCAAGGTATTCCACATCCAAGGTACCATGATTACGTCGCCCACAACGTTACTGCAGTTCAAATTCCAAAATCATACAAGCAAGCTCAAGGCAATCCTTTGTGGGAGGCTGCCATGGATACAGAGACTGATGCCATGCACGCCAATAACACGTGGACCGTGGTTGATCGTCCTTCACCAGACACACCTACTGTTGGGAGCCGCTGGGTATACACTATCAAAGTACATCCCGATGGGACGATCGAACGCTACAGGGCACGCATTGTTTCTCTTGGATATACACAGGAGCAGGGGGTGGATTATCATGAGACCTTTGCTCCTGTGGCAAAGATGTCAATGGTTCGAGTTTTGCTTGCGGTGGCTGCACAGAGGAATTGGTCTCTTCTCCAACTTGATGTTAAGAACGCATTTCTACACGGCGATCTGGATGAAGTTATTTACATGGAAAGACCCCCAGGATATCGTGTTGGAAAGCCTGGTCAGGTCTGCTTGCTGCATCGTTCATTATATGATCTCAAACAGGCACCGAGAGCCTGGTTTGAGAAGTTTCAGTCAAGATTGGTGGAACTGGGGTTTAGTCAAAGCCTGAATGATCCTTCTCTCTTTACACAGACTTCCTCCCGAGGTATCGTTGTCCTTCTTCTATACGTTGATGATATGATCATTACAGGATCTGAATCTGTGGGAATAGGCCGATTAAAAGAAGGTCTTCAGGATGCTTTCAACATTAAGGACCTGGGAGAGTTGTCTTATTTCCTTGGGTTGGAAGTTTCTCAAAGTGATAAAGGGATACTTCTCTGTCAAAAGAAGTATATTACTGATCTGTTGCACGAGCAAACTTTGAGAACTGCAAGGCTGTTTCTACACCTATGGAAGTTAATCTGAAGCTTGGTAGAGAGTCGGGTGTTCCTCTTAAAGATGGATCACAATATCGCAGCATTGTAGGGAGCTTAATATACTTGACAGCAACCCGACCGGATATCTCTTATGCAGTACAGTTGGTAAGCCAGTTTATGTCAAATCCGAGTGCAGATCACCTGGCTGCTGTTCATCGGATTTTGAGATACTTGCAAGGGACTAAGGACATGAGGATTCTTTTCTCTTCGGGTGGAGATACAAGGCTTCGAGCATATTCAGATTTTGATTATGCAGGCTGTGTAGATACTAGACGTTCTACTACTGGTTGGTGTGTTCAGTATGGAGATTCGTTTGTTTCATGGCGGTGCAAGAAGCAAGATAAAGTGTCCAAGTCATCTACAGAGGCGGAGTATCGAGCTATGTCTGACGTTACTTCAGAGTTGGTGTGGATGCGGCGATTACTCACTGATCAAGGAATCTCCTGCTCTTTGCCGATGGAGCTAATGGTTGATAACACTAGTGCTATACGTATAGCATCAAATCCAGTTCTTCATGATAGAACTAAGCATATCGAGATTCACGTGCATTACGTTCGGGATATGGTACGAGATGACACAGTCACACTACACTACATACATACAGAAGATCAAGTTGCGGACCTGTTCACGAAGTCATTTCCAGCAAGCCGGCATTGGTTCCTGTCTTGCAAATTGATGTTGTATGACACGCATCAATTTGGGGGATGCTGTTGATTATCCTTGTAGTCCCATTATAAGTGTAGTGTAGTAGTAGTGTACGTAGAGTCTCGGTTTAGCCCATTGGATCATTAAAGGCCCATGCAGCCCATAAGCATTAGGAGAGTCACGTAAACCTAAGTGCTAGGGTTCGGCCATGTTAGTGATATAAGAGCTAGTCTGCCGTCAGTGTACTGTACAACAAGCATACAGTTTTCATCAATACATCAGTAGCTGAGGAGTCTTCATACTCCTCCGTGGATTAGTCCTGGATCATCCAGGGATACCACGTAAACCACCGTTTGTCATTTCCGTTACAGTTTAAGATTTCAACAGGTTCACATTCGACAAGGGGAATAATTATCAAGGATCAAAGTGGTTCGATTATCTTGGCTCGAGTTCTTCCTATTGCGAATATCGATGACCCTCTTACATTTGAACTTTTAGTGCTCTGTGAGGTCTTTGAGTGGTGTCTGGATTATGGTCTCTCGCAAGTTCAGTTTGAAGGAGACGCAAATGTGGTCATTGGTAAGGTAAATTTGATTGGAGCTCAAGATAATCATTTCGGAACCATTCTTGTGGAAGTTCGTGGTCTGCTGGGAAATTTTCATGAATTTAATGTACGATTTGTAGGTCGGAATAGCAATCGGGTAGCCCACTTAGTGGCTAGAAATGCCATTTTTGTATCCGACTACTTATCACATTTTTTATTTCCTTTCTTGGTTGTATTTGTTCGATCTCTTTCTAATCAATATAAGATTATCTTTTTGTCAAAAAAAACAAAGAGAGGAGCAAGAGCGGAATACAGGTTAAATGCCAAACCCAAAACTAGAGAACTGTACAAATCCTGCTTCTCAAATCATGACTTAATCTAACAACATAGACAACAAGTGTAGAAATGATGAGTGCCCAAAATCCTTCTCCTAACCATCTCTCAGCTTTATTGTAGACTATTGCAAAGACTTCATCTTTATACGAAACAACAAGAACTGAAAATAGATTGCTCTGTTTCGGCCAAACCAAACTGAACTCAACCTAAAACCGAATCGAGCCTTCTCTTCTTATCGATTTCGAATTGAACTTTCTTTCGGTTGGTCTGAATCCAAAAAGTTAGTTCGGCTCGATGTTGGCTGAAAATACCGTGACAAAACAACTGCTTATCGATCATTGGTAGATAAATTTCATTTATATTTTTTTCCCTCTCTGCCATTTCATGATCGATTTCTGGCTTCTAACATTGGTCGAGAAAAAGAGATAAAGATACGACGATTCAAAGTAAGTGATCACACGACATGCTAAAGGGCTTACTTGGAACCTTCAAATTTGAAAAAAATGGGCATACAAAAAGGTTCCAAGTAAGTCTTATATGCCTTTCAACTACATCAAATCATTCAATCAATCAGCCGCATTCTCACATGCAATCATAAACCTCCTTCATTCATCATCAAGGAAGTGATCAATAGAGTTGGTTAACATTCATGAACTCATTCAAAACATGCAATGCATCCCCCCACACTATAGAGTCACATTTTCCTTAATGTGGGAATTCTAGGTTAGGTTTGCGACTTGTTATCATTGGGGGTTGATGTAGTCGAGGGGAAAATGGAACTCAATGAGTAGGTCTTCATTGATCTAGAGATTTGACATTCAAGCACAAACACAAGAGAGAAAGAAAGGGTTATTGACTCGTTCCTAACTACACAATTAATTTACGACTAAAGCCCAAGTGCAAACTCTAGAAGGGTGTATAGAAGGGCAAGCATTTTAATTGTCAACCCGAGGCGGTCCATGTACTCCTACTTCAATTGCTTGAATTGTTATCTACCTAAGCCATGGTTTGGAGCTTAAAAGCTAAAGAACTACATATGTAAATAGCAAAACTGTAAAATTTAGATTGTTTCAATGAAAGAAGAATTTATACGGGTATTGCTCCCCCTAGACGTGTATCAAGATTGACCGAAAGAAATGCAAATGTGTAAAAGTGTGCTCATACACCGGGAGGTTGCAACAAGTGGAGAAACTCCACTCTCTAAGACGATAGGCCAAGGAATGTCGAATTAAACTAGGAAACTAGCTATCTTGGCCAAATAACTAAGAGTTGCTAAGTATTCTGTGGCAAGGAAAGTGAAATCAAACATGATACAAAGATCAAAGGCCTTACAAAAAAGAAACATAAATGTTACCCTGGCCAAAGGCTAGAACCAAAAGGGAAAAGTGCACAAACTTCAAGTCTAGTTTAAAAATACATAAGACCATCTTCATCCCTAAAATTGATTAGCAATTTCTACATGTGTTCCCCACAGTCACATCATCAATTTTAACAATTTATCACTTAACAATTTTTAGTCATCCACATCTCTATCAGTTGCTAGCAAAATGCCCCATAGGATGGAGATGGTAACGGACATAACCATGTGAGCAATTGCTAAGCCAACAAATTCCCCTGTCAAAATCGAAGATTAGAAGACTACGAAAGAATGACAAGTAGGCCATCTATTAGCAGATCAATGTAATTAAAGCGAAATGGAACGACTGAAGAGCACAACTGCACAACAAAGGGGCATATTTTCAGGTTCACCACCAGCAGAACGAATATCCCACACCATCAAGCTAGAAAGAGAAAACACAAGTCTGGCAGAGAACCCAGCATGTTTTCAGTTCATATTCATCCGAAAGTGAAAGCGAGCGAAAGGCGGGGCAATGAAAAATATTCATTCCACCACCAAAAGCGGGCAAGAAACACCAGTAGAAAGTACTACTACTGTTGACTCATTTCAGAAGGGTCTTAACAATGGTTTTCACGTTCAACTTTTTCAGGTCTGTGTAAGACTGTCCGCAACCCACAAACATCACCGGTGCTCCAGAGATGTAAACCATGGAAAGCGCAGCTCCAACCTGTTGGTGAAAAGCAAGAACATGTTACCAAGGATTCGGGGTCCACAAGACACAGTTACTGGTGGAAAGTAAACGATTGCGAAAGGATATATGAGATTTACTAATATATGTGAATTTGAAAATTTAGAAAAGATAAAGTAAGGTGATATATGGATTTTGATGCGTATGTGATTGAGAAGTTGTTTATTTGATCAATGGGAGGAGCTGATTGGCATCAAATCAAGAGGGTTTCCTGACCTTATCGTCAATGGTGTCAAACTTAGTAAGCAGGATCCCATCAATTAGTCTCGGATTGGGGGAAGTGGAGAGATCAGCCAGTTTCTGGAAAAGAGCAAGAACTGTTGGTTAGTCATATTGTCATGGAGAAAAAAGGGGTTTGTACAAGAACAGTTGACAGAGGCAGGTAACTGAACCTGGTTGAACTTTGACAGTTGATCCACTGCATCATTTCCAACTAATGCCTCCCCAACAAAGAGCACAAGATCAGGATTGTTGAGGTTAACGAGCTTTGACAGCGCCCTCATCAATGGTTCATTGTCCTGAAAATGTGTGCAAACCTTTTAAAATAGTATCCTAACTCCTAAGGATGCTTTTGTTTCAGATTAAAACTAAACGCCCAAAGTGTATTTTACCAAAACAATCCAAACACACTTCAGTTCTACTCAAAGTTATAAATAAACGACTCTTATTTTCCAGTAAAGGCTAAAATAAAACATCTATACTATCTTAGCAATGGGATTTGTGAAGAAAAGATCAACCTCAAGATTTCCCTTCGTAGTAGAACAAGAAACAAAGTGCAAACTGAAAGCTAGCTCATCGGCCAACATCACAGGAACCGAAGCATCCTTCTCTTATTAATTTATATTCTCAAGTCACCTGTTCTGTGAAACCTACCCTTTTAGGGCTTCCACACTATGCTCTAGCCAGGGATTCCTATTGTATAAGTGCTAGGCTTTGCATAGGTGAGAAGCAAAACACCATGTTCCTTCTTTCCTGTCGCAACTAGTCCCCTTCAACTGTGAAGGGAGGTTGAACAATCTAGCTAAGTGAGGAAATTTCTGCATATCATTAGTTACCTGCATCCGGCCAGCTGTGTCCACAAGAACCACATCAGAACCATTGCGAGTTGCCTCCTGAATTGCTTCCTTCGCCACCATAGCAGGATCCTTTTCATAGCCCTTCTCAAATATAGGAATCTAGAAAGACAGAAGTGAGATTGGACTTGGCAAAAACCAATTTATCTATGACAAAGCAAAAAATGCGCAATCAATTCTCCACCTGAAGTCTGCGTGCATGAGTTCTCAGCTGTTCAACAGCTCCAGACCGAAATGTATCACAAGCAGCCATCATAACACTGACATTATGTTGCTGAAGCCAATATGCAACCTGCAAGATTACACATAACAGCTGTAAGGAGAGAGAGAGAGCAGCACCTCATGAGATAAATATGCCGAGTGGCGTTATCAAGCCATACCTTAGCTAGGTTGGTTGATTTTCCAACCCCATTGACACCCACAAAGACAACAACATATGGCTTCCTTTGTTCCTTAGCAGCATGTACATCCCTCAGTATGTCAATAGACCGCTTAGGGGTCAAAATCCGAACAAGTGCATCTTCCATAGCTGCCTGTAAATCATAAATTCCCACATCAAGACTTGAAGATTTCTAAACCAAAGTATCTGTAAAATAAAAGTACAAATATTGCAAGGAAGCACACCTGGACAGTTGAAGATATCCTTGTGAAAGATGCAAGCTTTTTACCTTCCAGGCTAGCTGCAACTGATTCACAGAGCTTCTCAGCTATCTCTTCCGCCTTGATACCAAGTAGGTAGAAATCCATAAGAACAGAGGATATGGTTTGAAGTAATCATCCACAAGACGACATACAATAAATAAAGAGAATTTCTTCTTGGTCAAGTAACATACCACATTCTTGGTCATGAGCCTGTCCTTGAGAGCTTTTAGAGCTGGTTCCAGATCTGACTTCTCTAAATTTGCTTTTCCGGCGATGCTGAAAGAGAATACATGAACCGAATTTCTTAGTGCCAATTTGCAAGGTTTCACTTTTTTAGCATCTCTATACAGAGAAAACACTTCTAACAGATGACACCACATGGCGATGCAGTCATGTGTTCAAGCTTTGGTGAAACTGTAACTACCAAATAGGAACAATTAAGTTGACTGAAATTCCCCAGACATTAAAATTATGGGGCTGAAATACTTTCAAAGATATTGGAAGGGGTATAGCTAAATCGTTCCATGATAGGACATAAGAAAGGTTTATATACCATGCCCTAATTATACTTCAATAGATCAACTTCGAATGACACACGTGGTTTAATTATAAAACATTGAACCACGCCAACTTACCTCTGGAACATAGATGAAAACCATCCCTTCTTCTTAGAGTCAGGTGCACTCCCCTTGCCAACCTCATCTTCTTCATCCTCACTATCGCTGCTAACAACCTCCTCTTTGTCCATCATGCTTTCTCCCTGGTTAGCTGCCACAACATCTATATTCTCAATTCCATTTTCCACGGGATCAGTGAAGTCCAGTTTCGACTGTGAAGGTGAATCATCCCAAACCCTATTCTTTTTTGTTGTTGCCTTTTTCTTTGGGTCCGCTTTGGCACCCTTACTATCACTAACAACAGTATCATTTTTCTTCCCTCCTTTGTTCTTAAGCTTCTGCAGCTTACTGACATCAAAAGCTCCAACATTGACACTAGCATTTTCTTTACCGTTACCAATAGCTAATCCCCTAGAACCATCAGTTTCACTATGATGGCCATTAGAGTGTCCATTCTCTAACTTATTATGACCTGCCCTATTATCATCATCATCATCATCATCATCACTGCCACCTTTAGCCTCGCTTTTTTTCTTGTTTCCTCCGTCAGCCCCACCCTTCTTCACATGTCCCTGTTTCTTAGAATCATTCACAGGCCTACCCACCTGCTTCGATTTCTTCAAATCCTCAGTCCTAGCCTCTGCCTCTTTCCTCAGCTGCCTAAAAGTTTCGTCGAAATCATTATAATCTATTCGCTTGGGATCGTATATCTCACAGAATTCACGCTTCACCATGGAAAGCAGTTCATCCACATACAGCAGCCGGAGTATCCGCTGATATACGGCGACAAACACAAGGCCAAGTTCGTTGTGGAAGGTCCATTTGAGGGTATAGGCAGCACCCGGAGCATCATAGTTATACGAGTTGGAGCCAGATCGCTCCTCCAGAAGGCAGAACCTAATGAGGGTGTCAATTGGTGATCCCTTGAGAGCGTTTCCAAGCTCTTTACACGTCCATAGGATCAATCCTCCTCTAGTAAATATGAGCAACTGCTCCAACATCCTTCAGCCTTCCCTGAATGCTCTGGAGGTATTAAAAAAAAAAAGGAACAAAATAAGATAGGAGACAAGAACAGAAGACCACCGATGATGATCATCTACACACAAATGAACAAATGCATGTATCAATCAGAAGAAAAGCCTCAAAATTGATTAAGAAAAATCCAGAAGAATCGGCTCAGGATTATATTTCATCAATCAGAAATTGTAATGTAAAGCTGGAGATAAAGCCTCGATTTCCTACCGCCGGAATGAATTCAGAACAATATAAAGGGTTTATCAAATCCCAGAAGGAGAACTCCACAAACAAGCAATTATCGTAAAGGGATCGTCTTAAATCGGTTCTGGTTCAAAAATTCGATATCCGATCTATGAAAATTTATGAACTTGCAAAGATCGACCCAGAAAAGGATAAAGAGGAATTGTCAGATAGCCAGGAAATCAAACAACTATACCTGGTGCCGTTTTTTCCTTCGATTGCGATGGCGACTGTAGAGCAAAATGAAAAAGGGAAAAAGAAAATTTTATGGAGTGAAAGAAGAAGCAGGAATCCGGATCTGAATTTTATGTTGTATTATGGCATCTTGGTCCTGGGCTTTGACTTCAGGCGAGGTTATAATTGGACAGTAAATGAAACCACGCCCGCCACACTCCAATAAGGCTTCCGGCCCAAGCGGATTAGCCTTGGAGAGTTTAGGCCGGCGGCATGGACCTGAATAAGACAAATGGGTTAAGGGTCAAGAAAACTACCAAAGAGTACTCAACTACTCATCAAATCAAATCAAATCCACTTATTAGTATTACTCACGTAAACCTCACTGTCCTCGGAGAGTCTCACATGGGTTTGACCACCGCAAAACATATCATCATCCGGTGTCAAACTAGAGTATGAGACTTCTCTTACTCTTATCGCTTTAATTTATTTAATGGTGAAGTATGACTAATCGTCAAACAAAAACGTGAAAGGTTTAATCAAATACACAATGCTTATAAACATATTCTTCAACTATCATGAAATCTCATAAAAATCCTCATAAGAAGTCTCTTCATTTCTAAAACTCCAAATTCTTCTTTTAAATAACTCAAAAAATTTGTCAAAACTATTAACCATAAATTGAAAAATAATGTTCCCCTTTTTCCTATTTAATTTAACATACATCCATGACTCTAGTTCTATTTCTCAATTTTCTAACGTACATCCATGACTCTAGTTACAAAAAAAAAAAATCAAATTAAATAAAAAGCAGCGTACAGTACTCTAATTAATTAAAACAGACTATATATTTTTATAATGAGTAAATTGACTCTAAAAATCTCAATATAAATTCTGCATAATGAAACCACTATCTAGTTTCTATAAAAATTATCGAATCTAACTAAATAGCTCAAATAGCATTTTAATCAATTAAATACGTTGTTTTACCAATTTTTGAAATTAGTAATACAACCCAAAAGTTCTCAAATTAATAACCAAATATCCTACGAATTTTCTCCAATTATAAATTATCCAAATATCCCAGTGCTCGGAACTGACCCCTGAGCAAAAGAGCAGTCTTGTGGCTCTGTTGAAGAAGTACGCCCGAGCCATGGCGTGGAAGATCATGAATATCAGAGACATTAGCCCATCCTTCTGCTCCCACAGAATTCTGATGGAGGATGAGGTTAAGCCAGTCCAGCAGCCGCAGCGGAGGTTGACTCCTAAATTGGAGGCAGTGGTCAGGGCAGAGATTGTGAAGTTGATGGATGCAGGGATCATCTTCGCTATATATGATAGCAAGTTGGTCATCCCCACTCAAGTGGTTCCGAAGAAAGGCGGGATGAATGTGGTCGCGAACGAGAAGAACGAGTGTATCCTGATGTGGACGGTGACTGGATGGCGTGTATGCATTGAGTAGAGACGATCAGCAAGCTAACTCCTCCTATTTTCTGGGTCATGCAGGTTTCTACCGATGCTTCATCAAATATTTCTTGAAGATAACCTTGCCATTGACCAAGCTGCTAGAGAAAGACGCACCATTCCACTTAACTCCAAAGTGCACAGCTGCGTTCGAGACATTGAAGGAGAAGCTTACCCATGCACCCATCATGGTGACTCCGGATTGATTTCTTCCATTTGAACTGATGTGCGATGTGAGTGATTACGCGGTCGAAGTTGTTCTTGATCAAAGACGCGCTAAGCATTTCCAGTCTATCTACTATTAGTCGAAGACTTTGAACGATGCCCAGGAGAACTACACCACAATAGAAAAGAAGTTGCTTGCAGTGGTGTATGATTTCAACAAGTTTCGACCGTACCTGGTGCTCTCTCATGTCGTGGTATATACAGACTACTCTGCCATCCACTACTTGATGACCAAGGCCAACGCTAAGCCTCGACACATCCACTGGATCCTGCTGCAGGAGTTGTTATCGAGATCCGAGACAAGAAAGGAGTCGAAAACATTGTTGCAGATCATCTTTCACTGCTGGAAGCCTCTCCGGTGGACAACTTCATGGAAGAGATCAATGACTCTTTCCCGGATGAACGATTGTTGGCGCTGTGCTTGGTGGAGAGTGTCACCCCTTGGTACTCTCATCTTGCCAATTATCTAGTGGGCAAGCAGTTACCTAAGGGGATGGCTACTCAAGCTAAGCGCAAATTCTTCTCCAACCTTAAGTTCTATTTCTGGGAGGATCCATACCTCTTTTGGATCGGAGCAGCTAGCGAGATTCAACGATGTGTGATGGAGCATGAGATGGGAGACATCTTGTGTCACTGTCACGAGGGACCAACTGGCGGTCATCATAAAGGAAACCGCACGACGCGGAAGGTGCTGCAGTCGGGCTTCTACTGGCCCACGCTCTTCAATGGTTCTGATACATTCGCATGCCAGTGCGATCGCTATCAGCGGTCAAGTAACATCTCTGTTTGTGATGAGATGCCCCAGAAGTCATTTGTGACTTGTGAGATTTTTTATTTCTGGGGCATCGACTTCATGGGTCATTTTCCTCCTTCATTCAGTAATCTCTATATCTTGGTTGATGTGGACTACGTCTCGAGGTGGACAGAAGCTCAAGCCATGCCCACCAATGATGCATGACATGTCTACTCATTTCTTAACCAACTCTTTCCCGGTTTGGGACACCTCGAGCCATCATTACTAATAGAGGCTCAAGGGAAATTCACTAATATCCTCTCTCGCTATTATGTCAAGCACAAGGTGTTGGTGGCTTACCATCCCCAAAACAAATGGTCAAGCCGAGCTGACGAACTGGGAACTAAAATGGATCATTGAAAAGACGGTGGATCAATCCTACAAGGATTGGTCCAGCAAGTTTGATGATGCTCTGTGGGCGTATAGGACAGCCTACAAGACGTCGATTCGTACTTCTCCATATCGTTTTGTCACCTGTCCGTCGACTAGAGCACAAGGCCTTCTAGGACTTTAATTTGTTAAACCTTGATTTGAGTCTTGCAGGTACCGAGCGGAAAATGCAGCTGGTGGAGCTGGAAGAGTGGAGTTATCACGCCTATGAGAACACCATACTGTAAGGAGCAACCAAGCGTCTCCACAATGGTCGTATTCTTCTATACAACTCCCACCTGCGACTCTTTCTGGGAAAGCTGTGCTCCCGGTGGTCTGGACCATTCATGGTCACTCAGTTGTTTCCCTATGGCACCATCGAGATTGCAAATCCGCAGAATGAGCCCTTTAAGGTGAATGGGCATCGCCTCAAGTTGTACATGGGAGGCGATGTCGAACAAGCAGAGATGGTGGTCGATCTTGCAGACCCTTATTTTTGCCATCTGCATCCAACAACACGATGGTGAAGAAGCGCTTGTGGGGAGGCAACCCCACCTCGGTTTGCATTTTCTTCCCTTTCTCTTTGTTTTTGTGATTTTGTGAGTGATGGGTGCCAAGTGTTGTGTTTTGTGTTTTTGTTTCGGTGTGTTGAACTAGATAATTTGTGTGTTTTGTTTTTCTTTTCTTCTTTTTGAAGCCATGGGACTGACAACTATTATCGCAACTCTTACCTAGTGTGAGTGGTTGTGTTTTGTCTTGCATTCGTTCTCAGAATCGGGTCCTTCTTCCATTCTACACATGATGGCTGGTCTCATCTCAATTCCAATGCAGTCCATTTTTTCCGGTAACTGACTCGCTAAAACACAACTCCTAACAATGGCCAAGTGTTACCAATGAAAGGGACTGCAGTATAGTGGCACAAGTAATAAATATTGAATCCACGGGTCTCTAGAGTTACTATTACTCAGCTTCAGTTCATTATCTAGCAAACCAGACTAATGATTGATTTACTAAACTACTCTATAAGCTAAACTAGATAAAACTACTAATTACATGTTGGGCACTCACTTAGGTATGATTCCCCTACCTCCTCAATTATATCCAAGTTATAATTCCTTTTGGTTGCTTTACTGCTGATCAAACTGCGCAAGATCCGAAAAAAGCTTGGAACCTTTTAAGCTGACCAAGCCCTCTTAGACAGAGTACCCGGCAGGCGACTAGCCTTCACCGGGATAGACTGCTAAGGCGATTCGCACAGATCTCCACTGCTTGGAACAAATTCCAGTACAAAGCAGTGAATTGACTGAATCTCGTACAATCAGTTCACTCCTATCAATTGAAGAAGCTCTGTCAACCTAATCAGATTCTATCTATCATAGGTTAAAGCAGAAATCAATAGTATGTGATCAAGATCCAATTGAGTGAACAATACATGCCTCAATAGATTATAATCAAACAATATAGCATCCAAAGATTCAAACAACCAAGATCCTAACACATGGTACTAGGATTCCTCAAAACCTAAGTGAAGTGAAGTTACTCTATAGAGAAAAGAGAAAATGCAGAAATCTGATCTAGATCTTCAATCTCCATCTCCAAGCTTGATTCCCGAGCTCCAATGGCAAATAAATCAACCAAAATAGCTCCAAGAATGCTCCCAAGTCTCTCTCTCTAGGGTTCATCCTTTGGGTGTTTGGGAACCAAAACCCAGCTCTCCCC